TCGCACAAAGGCACCCTGTGGGCCGTGTGGCAGCCTTGGCCCGCTTCCCACCTGAGGGGTCCCACCTTGCACACCACACCAGGAGTCTGGTGGGCCATTTCCAAGCCCCTGCGTCTTGTCCCACAATTGGCAAATTTATGGCTGTGGCAATGAGTGTGGTGGCTGACAGCTGAAGTGGGGAGGTGACAAGTCACCCAGCTTGCCTGGGACAGATGGGTTTCCCAAGACTTGAAACTTCAGTGGCCAACCTAGCAGGGTCCCTGGCACATGGGCAGTAGCCCCCTGGTCCCTTCAGTCACCCGGCCAAGCCTAGCACATCCTTTGAGGACCACCAGGCAGCCCAGGCAAGGGGCCCTGCTGGGATGCTCCCATGTCCAGGGCCCCGCCTTCATGGCGCTCAGCACGCTTGCCCTCAGTGAGTCATGTCAGAGTTGGCTCTGCAAGGGACAGAGCCCCCCGCCACACTGCAGGCCCCTGCAGGGGAGGTCATGGGACAGCCAGCCAGCCAGTCCCCGTCCTGAGGCTGCCCGCTGTGGTGTCTCACTCTGCCGCTTCCTTCTGCCACAGGATCGGGGCTCCAGCCTGACCATGGCCCTCCCACGGCTCTTCTGGGTGTGGCTGCTGGTTGTGGGGACTCATGGTGAGTTGAGTCGCTGGGAAATACGGAAAGCAAGCGCGGGTTGCTGCTGACCTCGCTCGCTCTGCGGGGCACCCCGCCACCCCCACTCCAACCCCTAGCAGGGGATCCGGTCATGCTGCCGAGCACCTGGGCCCGGCATGCACACACGTCTCTCCTGCCCAAGGCCCCGGCTGCCCCAAGGGATGGCGGTTTGTAGATTCGGGGCAGGCGGGCCCCGTGTTCAGGTGAGAGGCAGGTGGGGCCAGGATACGCAGCCCTGCTCCATCCAGTGGGAGCCAGAGGGCTGATCCTGGGGCGGGCTTCACTGACACCAGAGCAGCACCGGACCCTGGGAAGTGTGGACGGGTGGGCTTGCGGTCCCCCAGCCTCGTCCTCGCTGACCTGCACTGTGCTCCGACCCTGCAGGCCTGAAGGATGGGGACATGCGGCTGGCCGATGGGGGTGCCCCCAACCAGGGCCGTGTGGAGATCTTCTACAGAGGCCAGTGGGGGACCGTGTGTGACAACTTGTGGGACCTGACGGATGCCAGCGTCGTCTGCCGGGCCCTCGGCTTCGAGAACGCCACTGAGGCTCTGGGAGGAGCTGCCTTTGGGCCAGGTGGGGCCTGACTGAACATGCGCACACAGGTCCCAGGCCTCCAACTGCGACCGTTCTGGAAGGGCCGAGCAGGCTTACCGCGTCCCATGGGGCAGGTGGGGGGCAGGAGGAACTCGGGCATAGGATTCAGGGCTTCGCTGCATTCACCTTCGGCCCAGAAACCTCGCTCTTGGGATTACCCTTCTTGAAACAGTTTCCCTTCCAAAGAAAAATCTGTCTGCAGGAAGATTTCTGCTAATTCTAAACAGAAGGGAAACAGCCTGACCGTCTGACAGCGGGGCGAGCTACATAAATCACAGTACGTTGCCGCCTTAGCTGCAGTTCGCGTCCCACACTCTCAGCTGGCCTCAGTCAACCGTGGCCCAAAAATAGCACGTGGAAAATTCCAGAAAGAAACAAGTTATAAGCTTTCAATAAAAATTAGGTCATTGGGAAAGTCATGACATATTTTTCTATGCAAAAATGCATCACGACTTTCCAGACGACCCAACACTGTTGAAGTATTTTGTCAGAATTGTCCTATTGCACTCTTCAGTATCTGGCTATCCCATACTGGGTAAGCGACCACTGGGCCATGGCCTGCTCGTTGAGGGAATCGGATCCCACATGGCCAGCTACAGGTGAAATCCGGCCCTGGCAGCTGGAGGAACGTTCCGGGTGCGTGTGTCCGGGTGCTCCAAACCACGGCAGGGTGGGAAGTGGAGGGAGAGGGTTGCAGTGCGGCCAGGCTGCGTCGGGCTTCTTCTTTCTCCCCTGCCTCCCCTCGTCTCTCTAGCAAGTGCACACACCCTCTGACAACCTCCCCCCAAATAATACTTATTTTATACCTAGAAGTTTATTTTACATAAAAACATTATCATAGAAATCTTCATTCAGGGCCAGCAGGTGGCATGGGGGTTAAGGCAGCTGGATCTCACATGGCTGATGCGACGTTTGAGTCCCAGACCTGGTGGTCTGAAATTCACATCAGGGACATGGGTGTGCGTGTCCCAGATTCCAAGAGGAGAACGGAGGGGAAGGGACTGTGGTGTGGCCATCCCTTCTAGGGGTGATTTCTCACTTTCCCTTTCTCTCTCTCTCTGGCAAGCACACACACCCTATAGTAAACTTAAAAAAAATCAAGTTCATGGAAGACGTGCATTATGTACAGACTACAACCAGATTTCAAATATTTTGACTAAAATAAGTTCATACTTTAATTTCATTTTCCCACAAGCTTTTCAAACTCCCACAGAGGCTCGCAGGAGGGCCGAGGGCTTTCTTTGCTCTAACGCTGCATCCCACGCGGTGCACACAGCTCTCCTTCCTGGTGCGTCTGGGAGAGCAGGGCCTCGCCCCCTGGCTTAGAGCCCTGACCCCCGCTCCAGCCCTGGCCCCTGTCCTCTCGGTCATGCCAACAGGAACAGGCCCCATCATGTTGGATGAAGTGGAGTGCTCGGGGACAGAGCCCTCGCTGGCCAACTGCAGGTCCCTGGGCTGGCTGAAGAGCCACTGCAAACACAGGCAGGACGCCGGCGTGGTCTGCAGCAACGGTGAGTAGGGGGATGGGCGCCCCAAGTGCCCTGGGGGCCGTGGACCGCCCGTGACCCCGCCCCTCCCAGCACACCCTGTGCTCACAGAGGCCCACAGGGGGTGCACTGCCCGCTGCCCGCTGTCCAGGGCCAGGAAGTCCAGCTCCCAATGGGGCGGCTTCAGAACCACCTGCGGTCCCCTAACTGCCAGGTGCTGAGCCATATCTCGGCCACGGGTGACGTCTGCGTCGGAGGCTTGTCCCTGTGAGTGGCGAAGCCGTGTTGTGTCTATTCTCGACCTGGGACATGTCGCAGCACCTGCACACTTACGCAGTAAACATTTCTGGGTGGCGGGAACACCTCGCCCTGCCCTCTCCCCTGCTGCACCCGGGTCCTCAGTGACCTGGTGGCTCGCGCCTTTGAACCCCGGGTCTTGGTTTTGCAGCTGCCCTCTCTGGTTACCAGTCGAGGCCTCTTCCTGGGCTGGCACGCTGGGCCCGGGGGTGTGCCTGCCCCCTCCATTGCCCTGGACCGAGGACTCCGGAGGCACGGGGCTGGGACCCCAGGGAGCAGGCGTACACACAGGACGGCCTGGCTGAGGGAGCCGAGCCTGGTGGGAGGGCAGGAGTCACACTGGTGGGGGCACGGCGGTGCGGGCCGGTGCAGGGTGAGGGGCAGGGAGCCCGGGCTGGAGTGAGAGGGATCCAGAGAGTCGGGCATGAGGAGGAACGAGGGACCAAACCTACCTGGTTTAAATGGCAGAACTGAGTCACACGGATCTGTGCAAAGAAAGGAACTACAGGATTTGGTCCCGGTTCAGCTCTGTGAGGGGCCCAGGAGGAGGGGCTGCACCCCCTGTGCCTCCAGGGAGCCTCAGCCACTCTCCAGACCTTGTTCCCCTCAGAGTGCTGGGGGGTCCTGAGGTTCTAAAACAGGCTGCCACACACCCTAACTCTGACCAAGGAGGTGCTGTTGGCTTTAGAAGCATAGCAGCTGCGGTGATCAACTGATTGGGCATTAAAAGAACAGGGCACGGTGCGCTGGGGGTCAGCACCCTCAAACCCTGCCCTGGAAGAGCTGCCTGACGCTGGGCAGTGGGGAGCTAGCCCATGAGCACAGAAGTAGGGCAGAGGCCAAGCCCAGGATCCGGGAGAGGTCAGCTGGGCTCTCACCCACTCTTGTCCGACAGGGGTGGGGGACCAGGGCCACGTCACCCATCTTCCAGGCTGGACTGTCTCAGGTCCGTCCCACCCCTCCTCCTCCCAGGAGCCTCCCAAGTGGGCAAGGCAGGTATTGCCACCGCAGTCTAAGGCAGAGGGACTGATTCGCAGAGGGTGAGAGTGGCGTCCAGGACCACAGGGTACAGGGCAGGGAGAGACAGGGTCCTTGCCCCCACCATGTTATGTCCCCTCCGCCCGCCAGAAACCAGAGACGCCCACACCCTCGACCTCTCCGGAGAGCTGTCTGCCGCGCTGGCGCAGATCTTCGACAGCCAGCAGGGCTGCGACCTGGCCATCAGGGTGAAGGTGCAGGGAGGGGAGGACCAGGGCCTGTGCGCACACACGCTCATCCTGTCCGCCAACCCCGAGGCCCAGGCGCTGTGGAAGAAGCCGGGCAGCAAGGTCACCATGTACGTGGACGCCGAGTGTGTGCCCGTCATCAGAGACTTCATCAGGTGAGCCGCCCCGTCCTGCAGAGCGGAAGCGTGGCTGGCGTGGGTGCACTCACCCACACTCGTGACACTCACACTCCGCACCCACTCACACGGGCGCTCCCTCTCACCTCAGGTGTGCGCTCGCATGCACACGTATTTGCACACACAGCACACACGTAAACACCCTGTGGTCACCGACTGAAGGAAACAGCAGGCCCCCAGCCTGTTGGCAGAGTGGCTTGGGGAAGGCCTGCTCCAGGGGCGAGAGAGGCCCCGGCTCTGTGCTCCCCCTCCTGGAGACCCCAGCCTGGCACCACCCGGCACAGAGCTCTGACGGGTAGGGGTGTGTGGGGGGGTGGGGGTGGGGGAGTGGGAGGAGTGGAGGGAGGAAGCAAG